GATTGATAAACAATAAAAAGGTTCCTGCAGATACGCACCCAATTTAGTCGTCTTATTCCCATGTGAGAGCCATTTTCGTATTCCGGTACGCGACGTGCAGCTGTTTACCTTCACAGGAAGTCTGCCATGATGGTCATTCTAAACGTAATTCTGCTGGTACCCACCCTGGCACAGAATAGTCAATTTTTATGCTACTCTTCATAAAGAACGGCACAATTTGTCGGATCGTGTTCCACGGTACCACTCTATTGTGACTCGAGCACCTCTCTATTATTTGAGCCGTTCGTTGCACAAATGGATTAACTCCATAAAACAAAAAGTTGAGAAATAATGTACAAATAATAATAACAATAATAATAATAATAATAATAATAATAATAATAATAATAATAATAATAGTAATAATGTCGATGTAACAATGTTTGGTGTCAATCTTTATTATACAGGAAAGTTATTAAAAAGTTATGAGTGTAACAAGTGCTTCGATACTTAAATTTAAAAAGTGGAGTTAATCGATTGCAGTGAGCGGCTCATTTCTACCACGGACTATACCGCAGGATTGCTCGAATACTCGCGGGTGGAAGAGGCGAGTGTCCATCGCTAGGGTCGAGAGTCCAGATTGTCTCCGCGGCGCGCCATAGGTTGTATTGACGTCAGCGGGACACGGATAGCAATTAATCACCAGAAAGGATCCATGGAGAGGATACGGGAGGACGATCGGCCACGCTCGATCCCCCAGGCCCCATCCACGGAGCTCTGTTACGCGTGCCGGCCAAGTTCGCGCGTTCGACTGTCGTATAATAATGAGCCTGGCCAGAAAAAGAAATTCCGCTCGCCCGTTACAAAACGGCTAGGTGTGGCGGATAAACGAGACGCGACTCTGGCGAGCCGCGCAGTCAGACACCCAACTATTTATTAAAAAGTCAACCGGGGGACGTGCTACATCGGGAGGAAAGCGATAACGCGGTGCTCGAAGGTTCCAGTCGTTAAGCTTCGCTGGACATCTCGACCCTGTCGCGCTGAAAGCTCCGCGCAGGCTCAACGCGAGCTCGAAAACCCTTCTCGAGGCTTTTCGCTAATTTTTAGGGCGCTGGGAGTTCGTTGGCACGGTGTTATGCAATTTCTGTTGACTTTGTTGATTTCAGGACCGACTTTTGGATTTTTGGGATTTTCTGTGTTACACTCGGAGTGTTCGATTAAAAATGAATTAACGACAAGATAATTGGCTTTAAATTCCCGTACAAACGATCACGAAACCCTAGCGCCTACCATCTGTTCAATGGCGAACCCTTCTACGGTGCCTCGCGTTCACGATGTTTCGAATTGGCTGTTTTCTTACGTCGTGTTTGTGTTCTTCGTGCTTTCTCGTCCATCTGGAAAGTTTGTTTTTCGCACACGCGACTGTTGCAGTTCTTGTAGTCGTATCGCAGTCTCTGAACCATCCGCGCTCGACTCTCCCTCTTGCGTTGCTATTAATAGCGTATTCATTATTGCTGTAAATGAGCCGGCTCCTTTAATATCCGCATTGACATGGATCTACGATCACGCTGGAGGCATGACCCCGTCTCGTCTCGCACCTGCTTCAATCGGTGATCCGAAACGTTCGATAACTTACTCGATCCTCTTTTTACATGAAATAGCTGAGAAGGGAGTTATTATACGTGATGCACAGAGCGTGCTTCAAGTCGAGATAAGCGTTTAAGATAAAAATTGAAGACTCTACCGTCGAAGTAAACAACCTGTCTAGCATGACCAAATCTTTCTTTGGAATCGCGTAGACCGGTTTGCGCACCCTCTCGAGTAAACACATATTTCTCACATTAATTTGTTCGAAAGAGCTAGTCTCAGGTGTGACATAGATCTCTCACGAGCTGGTAAATGCCGAGCTGAAAGTAAAAGACCGAAGCGTTGTTTTTCTTGGCCGCGAGTTGATTAATTATCCGCTACATATTGAATAACCATGAACATCCGTCTTACATACAAGAAAATGTAATTCACCTGTACTTGAATCCACTCAGATAAACACTCTGCCCATTCCCAAGCACTGTTCCCAATGTTCTCGCTTTACTTCGGTATACTTCACTGTATTCGCTCTCGTCGCCAATGGAATTTCGTATAAGCAAAGTTCTTCTTCGCCGGCACTTTTAAATCGTCCAATTGTCGGTTCGCAATCGATGTTTTACCCACGAAGAACCAATGCATCATTCTCATTGTACCGCGCGATGCAACTAGACGGGATATAAATTATACCACGGCGACTTTGAAGCGCGTACTTCGATAAAGAAATCGCACGTGATAATGCTTCCTTTAACGGGCGATTCTATGCAGATGTATACGCACGATGAAAGGATTCATTTACGGATAATTGACTTCTTCGTTATGTAATTCTGGCTTTCTTCTCACAAAAGTGAGGCATTAAATCTCGGTTATCACGCAATTGGAATATTAAGGTCTCGCGACTGAATCAGGGTATTTATCCCTGGCTAGTTGCGGCGCTGGATAAGCAGAAGTAACAGGTTATTGGTATTTAAAGCTGGCCTCAAGGTTTCTCCGATGCACGAGCCATTCATTACCAGACAGTCGGAGCTTTTGCAACGGCGAAGGAGATAGGTGTAATAGGCGGGGTATCGTAATAACAGCGTTGCAAAATTATTTATGGCACGGGCGTGCTGAGCAAATAGGTAAAACAGCTGCCAAGTGACCAGTTCGCGATCCAGTAGCAACGGTCGATGCATTAACCGCGACTCGTTGAAATAATTAACGAACTCGCGAAGCGTTACACGCCGGGCCCCCGTTATTGTGCGCCGCTTCGCCTTTGATCGTCCCCTTTTGTTCCCCCTCGTTTCGATACGTGCTTACGCGGTGTATCGCGATGCCTTTAACCGTATTCGACTGTACACAGGCTTGTTGATTTTTTGTCCGTCTCTCGATTAGCGTTGCAACACGCGTTCAATCAATTCGGTAACACCGGTCTGACATGTTACTTTTTTACAATACCTTTACTTCTTCAAAGATATATTACACGTACTGTAACGTACACATAATTACACGTAGGAGGAGGCTGCGTCTAGTTTCTTACGACAGAATTGTACGACCAGATGGACGTTTAATATTTATGCCCGCGATTTACATTTTAATGCGTTCGCCTAAAAGAGAATGACTCGGTCTGTTTATGGAATAATTGCAATTAACTCGAGATAGATTAACATTTCATTTGAATTAAAAATAGGAATATCATTTCGCGCGTCAGGTAGATTGAACCGTCAACCACTGATTGTAGGAATAGAGATTAACCCTTTGAGAGCCGAAGGAAATTTTCATACATATCCACGTAATGCCAGACAATTTTAAGCAAAGATGCATGATCATAAATAAAAAATGTATATTTCGGTATGTAACACATATTACGGCATTTGAAATAAAATCTAAGTGCACAAATAAATCGATGTGACTTTTTAATGAGTTCTGGCACTTACAGCTTCGAGCAGCGATATATCGCTCCTTGCTACTTAAAGGGTTAACGTGACCAATCTATAAGGCTAAGATTAGCACTGGTGTACCATTCAAAAAACAATAAAATTCAGAGCAAAGCTCACGGAGACTTCCCATGGCTTATATCGAGGGGTTGAATTCAACTTGACGCTAAAAGTCGCTCAAGGGATTAGATCCTATAAACTCGTTTAGCAACCCCACCGATGTATCTCCGTGTCCACGCGCGTAAACCGACGCGTTTACAAAGAGGCATACTGTAGAAGCCACAGGCGTAACGATTTATCGCGGGGTGAGTTATATAACTCGGGTTGACGACTATTTGAACGATAATTGTAGTGTTATACACCCTGGTGCAGACGTGGTCGTGTTGAATGGCAGCGCGGCCTGTAATACGACTATCATTACTACTCTACGCGCGACTCTAACCATAAATCGTTGAGTTTATGGCCCCTATTAGTGCAGCGTAAAAGTAGGAGTCGTGCTGGGCGTGAGTCTCGGCAGGGTAAACAGCCTTGAGCAGCCAGTTGCGTGCGATACGACTGTTGCCGTCAGTGGTCATCATAGTCACCGGTACCCCCAAGAATCGAGCTCAGTCGATAGGGCACTCTGGCCTTTCATTAACCCTTTGTACTCGAGACTCTCGAGAGGTGATTCTCAGTTACCGCTAGGTTTGAAGCAGAAAATCAGCCAGCAATAATGTTTCTTTAAGGGTGTGCAGAAGCCAGAGCCAAACTCCGAATTAACTTCAGCTACAGCAGCGAAAAAAGTAGGAATCTGTGGGACAAGGAC